GGAGGAGGAGGAGGAGGAGGAGGAGGAGGAGGAGGAGGAGGAGGAGAGGAGGGAGGAGGGAGGGAGGAGGAGGAGGAGGAGGAGGAGGAGGAGGAGGAGGAGGAGGAGGAGGAGGAGGAGGAGGAGGAGGAGGAGGAGGGAGGAGGAGAAGGAAGGAGGCAGAGATGGAGGCAGTGAGGGAGGCAGGGAGGGAGCCCCCCCTCCCCCCCCCTTGGGGGCAGCAGATCCACCTTGTTATGCTACCGCCGCCCAGCCAACTGCAGCTGGGGCGGAAGGGGGCGAGGGCCTCGTCCCCTGCGACCAGCCGGCCCGCAGCGGCAGCGGCAGGGGGGGTGGAGGGACACGAGGAGGAGGGGAGGAGGAAGAGGAGGAGTAGGAGGAAAAGAAGGAGGAGAACGGGAAGATGGAGAGGAGGTGAGAGGGGATGGGGAGAGGACTTATCCCAGGCCGAAAAAACAGAGAATAGCAGAATAGGGGTGATGCTGCTGACGATGATGATGACGATGATGCTGCAGATGATGATTCTAATGCAAATGCTGATGATGATGATGCTGATGCTGAGGATGGTGATGATGATGCTGCTGCTGATGATCGTGATGATGATGTTGCTGATGATGCTGCTGATGATGTGGTGGTAGTTGTGTGAATGACGGTGATGATGCTGATTATGATGAGGATGCTGATGGTGATGGTGAAGATGATGATGATGCTGATGGTGGTGGTGATGGTAATGCTGATGCTGGTGATGATGGTGATGATGGTGATGATGGTGATGATGATAATGAGGATGTGGAGGAGGAGGAGGAGGAGGAGGAGGAGGATGAGGAGAAAGAGGTGGAGGAGGAGGACGCGGATGAGGAGGAAGAGGAGGAGGAGGAGGAGGAGGAGGAGGAGGAGGAGGAGGAGGAGCGGGAGGAGGAGGAGCGGGAGCAGGAGAGCGAGGAGAGAGAGGAGAAGGAAAAGATGGAGGAGAAGGAGGAGGACAGCGAGGATGAGGAGGAGGAGGAGGAGGAGAACGCGGAGAGGTAGGAGGAGGAGGACTCTTGACTCTTTCTGGGCTGCGTGCCGGAACCCGGCAGCCAAAGCGGACACAGCATGATACTATGGAGCGCAAGCAATGAGCGTATCAGCCAAGGCGAGCCGCGGCCTGATACGGCGCGGAGCCCTCTGGGCTTCATCAATGCCCAAATCTGGCATCCCACAGGCGGCAAGCCTTTCCGCCATGTGTTCAATGTGACTGCAAAGCGAACTACATGCGGCGAGCTCCGCGCTAGAGCTCGTGGCGCTGCCCACGCCGAATCCGTAGACCATCCAAGGGTACATATTCGTGCCGATCTTCACCCATAGAGCCCATGCTGCCCCGGCTTTGCCTTCCCGCCGCCCGCCGTCGAACCTGGCCACGACGTTTGCCTCCGCATGCCCCCTTAATAGCTCCCACGGCACGAGGTTGATTGCAGCAATCTCGCGCTGTCGCTCCAATGCGGCTGTTGCGGTGGCGTCGCAATCCTTGTTGTACTCGCGGTAGATGTGCCGAGCCCAATCTGCCCCGTCCGTTGCGACATTCACTCTGTCCGTCCCCCAAGCCACGTACAGACTCCGGCGCGCTCGAGCTAGTGCCGGTGCCAGCCTTGGGTTCTTCATGTCCCAGCGCCCGTTCAGCCGCTCGATCGTGGTGTTGCTGTCTCCCTCGGTCTGCACCCGCATTCGTTTCGGTAGCGATGAAACGGAACCCGGCGCAGTATTAAGGGCTGTCGCCGCCGGGGCCTGGAAGCAGGCTGGGCATACGGGGGAACTTGACGAGGACACGGTTGCTGAGCATGTCTCGACTGCCATCGGACCCGTTCTTCACGCCAGCGCTGCACAGGAAGTCCCCAACCCTCAAAGCCAGCCTTCACGAACTCCTCCCTCCGTTCTGCCCAGACTGGCTGGGCAGCATCCTCGCGCCATCCAGGTCCCGCAGCAGAGATGTAAACGTCTTCCCACTGAGCTCGGCGCGCCCATCCTTGCCGATGTTGCCACGGGGTCTCCTCCTCCCGTGCGCGGGCAAAGGTGCTGCGACTCGCCCGCTGCCTCCTCCTCTTCTCCATTCTGTCCCTCGTCCGCTGCCAGTCCTCCTCGGGGAGCGTCCTGGTCGCATAAGTCAGGAAATCGCGCAGGTCACTCCCAGCTTTAGGGTCGTCTGGGGACGTCCGCCCGGCGACGGCGAGCGCCGCCATCTTGTGCTACACTTCCAAGAGCTTCTCAAGGACGAGCCTGCCTCCACCCCTGACTAAGATCGTTCTGGCCCTCGTCGTTGATCGCCGCATGAATCTCTCAAATCCCTCTCCATCCCGTCGCCCGCGTATCATCGCTGTGCGTCGGAGCATCGAGCCTTCTGCTCCGTGGATTTTCTGGGCCAGTACTGTCGTCATGGCCCAGCCTTCGCAACCGTACAAGAGTATGGGCTGCGCGTGCTGCTCATAGCGCCGGACGCGCTCCAACATACTCAGCGTCTTCTTCCGGAGGGCCTTGTCTCCCCACCATGCTGGCCATGCAACGGAAATACGAGCCTCCACATCTGGCGTGCTATCGCCCGTTTGCGTAAGCACGCTGCCAAGCTGGGTGCTGACGGAGACTCGCGGCACCTTGAGCGCGACCTGCGCGACGTCAGGCTGCTCCGCCGAGATCTCGAAGAAAGCTGGCGCATTGGGGCTCGACGTCATGTATTCCAAGCTCGAGGGCTTCCAATAAAGCCCACTAGTTTGAAGTTCTGTGCTCAAGATGTTGGTCATTTTGCGGAGAATCTCCCAGTCCCGCGCCAAGAGGTATACGTTGTCACACCAGAGTACATGCGTGAACCGCGCGCCCTCCACCACGATGCCAAGGTCGTTCGCCTCGCAGGCGCGGATCGCGAGCACCATGCACCTGGAGATCGTTGCATTGAACTTCCGCGTGGCGTCGGTGCCCCCTTGCTTCTCGCTGCGGTTGTACAAGATCGGCGTCTGAACCGTGGTGGTGCCAAAGACCGGCTCCATCGTGCAGCTCGCGCCTTCGCGGAAGAGCGCTCGCAGCAGCCTGCTCGGCGCTCCTGCCTTTCTCATCGCGGCCATCGCCGCTTTCGGCTGGAGGAAGTCGAACGCCTGGAGCACGTCCGCGAATAGAACAGCAAGTGGAAAGCGGTCGGGCCACTCCCAGCTCTTGCGGATCAGCAGCTGCAGCGGCGTGATGAGGTGAGCGCAGCTCATGCCCGTCTCAAATCCCATGCACAACGCTCGCGAGAGCTCGCGCGTGGGGGGCACTAAGTCTTCATAGAGCAAGATCAAGCTGGTCGTGTACCACTTGAGCGTCGCAGCCATCAGAGTGATCCCCCTGTAATCTGTGAGGTCGGTGCTGCGTGCCCGTTTCTCCAAGAATAGCATGACCAATTTCGTCCAGGATTCTACATCGCCCTCCCCTCCTGCCAGCCTGGCTCGGAAGAGAGAGTACCAAGCGTACACCGCCTCCGTGCTGAGCCCAAGCAGCATCTCGTTCACCATGTCGTCCTGGCCAGCTGCTTTCCCCTTGGCCATTCTCGATCTAGCCTGCAATACGTAATGAATGCTGTACTGTTGCAGTGTGCGGTGGTCCCCTCTGGCCTCCTCCCGGCACGCCTCCTCGTCGAGCTTCTGCAGACGCTTATGCTGCCTGTCCCTAGTCTCTGCAGGATTGTGGTACTTCTTCTTGCAGAAAGCCTCCAAGACTGCCGGCCACTGGGATCTATCATGCTGCATTTGCCCATGAGCATCTCGTAATGCAAGGGGTCCCGCATGCGCCGCTCTGCACTTTGCTCGCCTCCCAGACGGGTGGGTGACAAGCATCTTCTTGCGCTCATCGTAGCGCCTCCTCCTCCTGAGTTGGCTCCTCGCAGCGCGTCGCTCCGCGGGATTCCCGGCGTCCTGTACAGCAGCCTCCAGCTTCAATAATTCAGCGTCCTTGGTGTAGACGTCCTGGATCCTCTGGCTACGCGTCGAGTGGGGGATGTCCCGCGCCGCCGCCGTCACAGAGGCATTCGCCGCTTCCAAGTACTCTCCGAGTTCGTTGCTGGTTCCCGCGCCGCCTTCAGTAACAATTGCTACAAGCTGGCGTGCGGTTCGTATTCTGAACTCCTGCTCGTCCGCAGCGCTCAGTGGCTGCCAACCGGTCAGGGCGCGCTTCCTGGTGATCGCTGCCATCATTATGTGAGCGGGCGCAACGCGCAGCCACACTGGGTCGTGGTCTCGCCGGCGCTCTGCTATCATCAGTGGCCTCGTATTCCACACCTCCCAGCTGCAGCCCCAAGCACGGGGTATCGCAATGCCGTCAATTGTGGCATGGGCACCACTCCCTGGGTGCTCGTAGGTCCGCCGTCGCCATGCCGTGGTCTCCGTGCCAAATGTCGTCGCCATTTTCAGTCCCCACTTGTCGAGATGAGCCAAGAGCATCTCCTGCCGGATCCGCATGGCCTCCCCAGTGTAGAAATCCCCCGCCCTGCTTCCGCTCAGCCCCGGTATGTCCTTAGGCAGCTCCACGTTGAAGTCGCCACCTAGGATGAAGGCTCCACATCCCGTATGCTTGCACTGTCGCCATAGACGGTCAACCTCCTCCAGCGTCGTCTTGAAGTCCTCTATCGGTTTGCTCTGGTCTGGCAAGTAGCAGCTACAGACGCAGGCGCGGGATATACCTAGCGCTACCGCGTGCGTGCTGCCATGCATGGGCTCCGAGCCCAAATTGGCCCCCATCTTTTGTGGGATTGCCACCGCCGTGTAGTTCCCAAGCCGGTGGTGTACGATCCAGCCTGGGACGCATGGGTCCGAAGGCCAACTCTCCACCTCCTGCAGCAAGATGATTATGTTCGTGCCGTAGCGGTCCGTGAGAGCCTGGAACCCCTGATTAATGAAGTCGCCATTCAACTTGCCCACGTTCCAGCTCACGATTTGGCACTCGAATTCGCAAAACTCATGCATCGGCCCTCTGGGCCTCCTCCGCCTGCTGAGTCTATTCCCTCACTCCTGTGCGGATGCCTGCGTGCGCACCGCCTGGTGGTTTACCCCAGGGATGTTCGCGTTCCACTTCTCCTCGTTGACCGTCCAGCCATTGGTCTCGTCCCAGTTGGCGATGTTGGTGATGGGCCGTGGAGGCGGGTTCCCAGGAACAGCGGGTGGAGTGTACTTCACGTGCAGCTGGCGCGCCCGCTCGTTGTACCGTACCTTCACCACCCCAGGCCCCACGTTATTGGCCTCGCATGCAGCGTACCACTTCGCAGCAACACGTGTCAAAGGCTGCATTGAAGTACTCGCTTTCATGGTACAGGTGGGCTTCTTCCCTCCTGCCTTCACCCCGTTCGCGTGGATGATCTCCTGGATGCTCTTCTGAACCTTCCAGGCCATGTTCTTGTTGACGTTGAACTTCAGGGGTATCTCCAGCTTGGGAAGTAGATCCTTCGCGGAAGCCTTACCGGTAAGGCTGGCCTCGTCAATGGCGTCCTTCAGGGTCGCCTCCAGCTTGTTGTAGATGTCGTTCCAGATCGGCTCGAGCTCGTGCCACATCAGGGCCGTGTCGTCCTGGACCTTCCAGTCCACGACCCAGCCCTTCAGCTCCAAGGAGATAGGCTCCGGGCTCTGCGAAGATGATCCCATTGATGGTGCCGCCGCCGAGGTCGCTCCCTCCTTCTTCATCTTGGCAACCTCGTCCTTGGCCTTCTGGGCGATGCGTTTGGCCTCCCTGGCGGCTGTCACCGCAGCGTCGGCATTGCTGCCAACCTGTTGCACGTCCACCTGCATCTTGCGCAACTTGCCCGTGGTCTCCTTCTGGAAGTCCTTGCCGGACTTGATCGATGCGGCCATCAGCTCGAACAGGTCCCTGTTGGTGGGGTTCTCCGGAACGTTCGCGATCTTCCTCATGAGCTCTTCGCCCTTCTCCTCATCTTCATGCTCCAGGTTCATGTCATCTGCCGCGATCCTCGCCCTCTTCGCTGCCTCCTCCTTCGCTGCTGCCTCCGCCCAGGGGTCGTGGGGAGCTCCGGCAGCACCGCCAGCAGCCATCTGAACGCCAGGAGCATTGATCATCCCGGACATGGCAGCAAGAAGAATAATACTTGGCAGCAAGAAGATAATGACAAAAGGGGGCGTGGCAAAAAGGGGGGGGGGTCTTGAGCCACTGCTTGAGCCAAAATTGGGGGGGGCTCTTGAGCCACTGCTTGAGCCAAAATGAGGAGGAGGAGGAGGAGGAGGAGGAGGAGGAGGAGGAGGGGGAGGAGGAGGAGGAGGAAGAGGAGGAGGACCAGTGTAAACGCAGTGTGTTTCAACGATATTGCAATAAACCCTCCCTCAACTTTCCCTCTTCATAGGCTCCTACACGGGTCACTGAGCGAAAATCCCCCGTTGGAAGACAACAAGTTGAACATCCGGACGTGTACCAAGACGTGATTTTTGGCCGCGGAACACCGCCACTATTGCATCTGGATGATCCTAAATCGTGTCAGAACACCGTTCCTGGGACTTCGACACCACGACCCAACCTGACTGTTGCGCCGTGACATTCCGACATCGTGCCAACACATGATTTCTGGACAATTAACCACGAGAATCTTTGAAACTGCTGCAAACTCTGACGACGAATGTGCGCGGCGCTTGGGCGACAACAGCATTTTGAAAAAGAGCCGCCCTCCATCCGTGAAGCTCTTGCGCACTTTTAGAACGAGTGTGTGCGGCGCGGAGGCGAGAACTAAAATTTGAAAAGAAGCCGCCCTCAATATGTGAAGCTTGTGTAAACTTTTGAAACGAGTGTGCGCGGCGCTAAAGCGAGAACTATATTCTGAACAGAAGCCGCCCTCCCATGCGTGAAACTCTTGCAAACATTTGAAACGAATGTGCGGGCACCAAGGTGAGAACTACATTTTGAAAACGCACCGCCCTCCATTCGTGAACATCTGGTATATTTTGGAAACGAAAGTGCGCGGCGCTCGAGAGAGAACAACAATTGGAAAACGGATCTCCCTTCGTCCGTGAGGCTGTTGCACATTTCAAGCTTCATGATCATAATTTGTGAGAAAGTCTCCGGCGAAACGCCCGCCCCGCCATTCCGACCGGACTCGGCGTGCGACAGGGAGGTATCTATAAGGAAAACGAGCGGAGGAGGGGGACGAGGAGGAGGAGGAGGAGGAGGAGGAGGAGGAGGAGGAGGAGTGGTGGAGGAGGAGGAGGAGGAGGACGAGGAGGCGGAGGAGGAGGAGGAGGAGGAGGAGGAGGAGGAGGAGGAGGAGGAGAGGGAGGAGAAGGACGCCGCGACGCTGGCCTTCCTACGAGGGAGCCGGGGCGCCGCCGCCTGCTCCTTTGGCTCCTTCTTTCCTTATGAATGAGTAACGCCTCCCAGTCGCATCACTAGACGTGTCCGTAGGCCAGGCCTGGCGTTATTCATGGGCAGAGCAGAGCAGAGCGTGTCAAAGTCCGCCAGGGCGGCGGGACCTGGAAGGCTGGCGCGGGCGGGCCGGAGCCCTCATGTGCTGCAGTGGATGCTCACGACCGTTGGTGCTGTAAGATGCGGAGGCTGGAAGTCGATAAGTGGACGTGGAGGTGTAAAGTGGGATGCTGGAAGCTGGACGTCGGAATCTGGAAGTCGGACGTTATTCGTGAGATTTCCTTGCATCATCCCGAGGATTTAGATTTCCAGCATTGGCACTAGTAGAGGGCCAGTGGTTCTCAAGTGCGGCTCTCGCCTGTGGCGCCGCGCACAATCGTTCTAAGCATTTCCGCCAGCTGCACGGATGGAGCCCACATCATCTTCAAACTTTGGCCCACACCCTGGCACCGCGCACATCCGTCTCACACGTTTCCAGCATTCACACGGATTGAGGCCCGTCGTTTTCAATGTATGGATCTCGCCTTAGCTCCGCGCGCATTCCGCTTAGCAATTCCAATCAGTTGCGCGGATGGAGGGCCGGCCGTTTTCAATACATTGTTCTCGCATGGGTGCCGCGCACGGGTGTAGTGCCAATCATTTTCCAGGGTGGCTCTCGCCATATCGCGGCGCACACTCGTCTTGCAAGCTTCCATCAGTTACACACGCGGAGGGCCAGTCGTTTTCAACATGTTCTCCCCGTAGCGCCGCGCGCACTCCTCTTGACACGTCCCAGCAGTTCCACGAATGGTGGCCGGCGATTTTCAACATGGGGCACCCGCCTGAGATTGCCTCAACGAATCTCACCACGCACGTAACATCGCTCGCTAGGTGCACGGACGGAGGGCGCTTCCCTCTCGGCATGCGGCTCCTGCCTGAGCTCTCGTGATCGTTCGTCACCGGTGGCTGACCTCGTGTCACAGCTGCGCGGATGCCGCGCGGTTCTGTTTTCAAAGAGGTCCTGTCGCAGGTCATTTGGGGGGGCGCGCAAACATGGATTAGCGATCCATGGATCTGGCTCGCGGCCGCCAAGTCTATATATCGGGGGAGGTGCCCTCACCAAAATGCGGCGGTGCCGTCTCGTTCGGCGGCGGGAATCCGAAATTTCCCAGGGAAACGGGACCCGTCGCCAGTCCACGCCCCCCTTGATCCATGTTTGTGATCGCCTGACATTTCTTTGGGAAGAAAAGCCCGCCCAGCCGAATTCTTCTTGGCTCCCAGGACGGGGGGCGGCCTCCTTCAAGACGGGCCTCCCGCCGGAATTGCGTGCCCCCCGGGGGCGCTCGTCCTTCGCGGGGTGGGGCGCTGCTCGCAGTGAAAGAGGAATGCTCGTAGGGTCTCATGGGGAAGTGACTTGGGACGGGACGGTGTATCGCAGCGTCGTTGGTACTTCTTAGTTTTCATCATCCTCCTCTTCCTCCTCCTCCTCCTCCTCCTTCTCTCCCTCGCTATCACCTTCCTCCTCCTCCTCCTCCTCCTCCTCCTTCTCCTTCTTCCTGCTCTCTCCCCCCCGTTATCCTACTCCCTCCGCCGTCGTCGTCGTCGTCGTCGTCGTCGTCATCGTCATCGTCGTCGTCGCTTTCCGACATGCTCAGTGTCCCCCTGGTCGTCGTACTGCAAGTCCAGGGGCACCCGCGCGAAGTCCCTCGACCCTGGCGCGTCGCGGGCTGCGGCCGCGAGCCCGTGCAGGTCCAGGTGGACCTCGCTCTGCCCTCCCTGTTCCCTCTGCCCCTCCTCCCTCCCCGAGCTCTCCCCTGGTCCAGAGGATGATGATGCTGCTGATGATGCTGCTGCTGATGATGATGATAACGTATCTCTGGAGACAGCAGGTTCCGAAGAAGCAGTGAGACTGCATGCGCTCAGCGGCGCAGAAGGCGCGCATTACACTACACGGGGTGCGGGGCCCAAAAGGCAGGAGGAAAAGATGGGAGACACGCCTGGGAAGCTTCCTCATCACGCCTGTTGCGGGACGTCTGCTGGGAAGTGCGGGTGAGCGCAGCCGCAATCATCGGAGCAACCTTATCATCACATTTAGACTCACATGTGGAAACAACGTGATGGATGGCGTCCGCGAACTTATCCTGTAGAACAAACAAGCTAGAGACAGCCTCAAGCGTGTTGATTTTCGATGATGCTGATTCTGATGAGGAGGAGGAAGAGGAGGAGGACGAGCAGGAAGAGGAGGAGGAGGAGGAGGAGGAGACAATATGATGAGGAGGGGGAGGGGGAAAGCCATGCTTTCTGTGATCTCTGATCCCCCTCCCCTCCCCCCCGCCCCAGGTGGACATCGCTCTGCCCTCGGTGTCCCCCCCCCCTGCCCTCTCGGCCCCTCCTCCCTCGCCGCTCGACCCTTTCCGCTCTCTCCCTTCTCCCTCTCTCCTCTGCTCCCTCCTCCCTCCTCCCTGCATCCTCTGGCTCCTTCCCCCTCCCTCCTCAGCTCCCTGCTCCCTGCCTCCTGCTGCACTCCGCCCGTCTTCGCCTCGCCGGGACGAGGCCAGGGGCTGCCCGGCCGTTCCGAGGGTGGGGAGGAGGGAGGCTTTCTCGCTCGACGACGGCTTGCCCTGAAGCGTACTCGTTACCCCTCTGGCCTCTGTCTGTCTCAGGCGGGCGGCGCTGTTGACCCCGGAGTCATGCCACTTGCGCCACCGCCGAGAGACAGCGGAACGGCCAAAAAGGAAGATCAGGGACTCCCTTTCCTCCTCCCTCCTCCCTCCTCCCTCCTCCCAGTTCGCTGACAGGGAGGAGGGAGGAGGGAGGAGGAAAGAGGGAGGAGGGAGGAGGAAAGAGGGAGGAGGGAGGAGGACAGAGGGAGGAGGGAGGAGGGAGGAGGAAAGAGGGACCAGGCAAGGGGGAGGAGGGGGAGGTGCACACCACCACCACCACCGCCTCCGCAGGCGCACCCTGGGCCCGCGCCCCGGAGCAGCATCGGGCCTCCAAGGCCAGACTGGAAGGCCCGAAGGGGCCTGCAGTGAGACGAGGCCAGGACACGGACAACGTCGAGGGAACGAAGAGTGGCTGTGTGGATGCCGTGACAGTGGACACCCTGACAGGCCTACCATTGGGTTGAACATGTGCTTAACATGTTCGGAACGTGTTCTAAACATGTGTTTTCCGGATTTATGATATTTCAAACACATCTTCTAGAATATGGAAATGTTTTGGCAACATGCTTCCTCTCCATTGATCGTCGCCCATAAGAATGGCATTAACATCTAAAACTCGGAAGTCCGCGCGGATTTCTCGGATCCGCGCGGACATCCGAATTTTATGTGTATGCCATTCTTCGTTCCCCTAACATCGGAAACAGATAATCGGGGATCTCTGAGAACTCTCGGCCCTGGAGGAAGTGACAAGAGCGTTCTGGAACGCTCTGGGAGCGCTCCAGGGCGCTCTGGAACGGCTTGTCCCTGTCCTGGCCCCACGCGGCTGTGGACTGCGTGAGTAGGGCCGAATGGCTATGCATCACGCCAAGACTTGGCCCAAGATGGGCCTGCTCTGTGGGCTCCAGCTTCGTCTGGCGTCCACAGCAGATCTGGGTAGAGGGGGGGGTCCAGTGCCGGTGCAGGAAGTCTGCGCGGAGCTCCGACAATTTCTGTTTCTGCAGTCCTTCCTTGCTGAGCAGAGCTGGGGGCACATCTCCCGCCGCTCCTGGTCCTAGGCTCCGTGAAGTGCCCCTTTAGGGCCCCGCCAGGGTGAGGTCGCGCATGTCCTCCTACAGGCGGATTTTGGAAGGAAAATGCAACATAGCCAAACGTAATCAAACACACTCAAAAGAACACGAACATCGTCCACAGCTTAGTCGCCCCGACACGCAACACGCAACACGTACCGTACTGATACGGAGCTTAACACGTAGACTGAAAACGTACGTCCGACGCGATACCTTCGCCAACAAGTGTGCCAATACGCTGAGCCAGCACGCAACGGGTTGACACAGACGTTCTGAACACGGCACGTGTTGTGTTTCAACACGGGCGTTTCAGGGCAACTATGAGTCCGCTTGTAGAAGGAGATGCCTGACTGAACGCCAGGGGCCGTCGGGGAATGCAAAAGGCGGTGCGGTGCACCTGCCGGCTGGCCGGTCTCTTACGCCCATCGTGCTACCATCATGGACGCAGAACAAGGAACACCACTTTTTTTGTTTGCGGCCCCGGTGATCCCCGGCCACCAGCAAGTTTGTGGACCTATATCTGGAGAGCGGCGCGAAAATTAGAGCTCCTCCCGAGCCCGAAGCGGTCCTTCTTTCATCGTCTTGGCTGTATCCGCCGTGCCCGCTGTTCACGTTCCCTCTCCCGAACGCCCTGCCCCTTCAGCCCCCCCCCGACCTTGCGCACACGCGAGCCGACCGAGCACTTGTCCTGCACGCGCAGCAGCGTGCGCAACACCGCCGTCGCGCCCACCCGCGGGTTCGAGCCGGCGGCCTTCAGGAGCTCGGGCGCGCCTGAGCGACGCCCACTCCGCGGGAGTCAGGCAACGCTCAAGGAGGTCGCGTCGAATGGGGCCGCCAATTGCACCAGGCAGCGGAACCCCGCTGGACCCGCCAGAGCCCCGCGGAGTTCCCAAGAGGACCAACAAGTAGTCCAGAACCTCCTCGATCCTTGGTCCTCGATTCGACAAAGAAGACGTTTCGACATGGTGACCCCCTTCCCTTGCATTGCCTTGGGGAGGCGGGGGTGCCACGCTCCTGAGGGCTGGCCGTCTGTCCGGGCCACCAGGCCGCGCCCGACCCCTGGGCACATCCTCCCCCTCCTTCTTCCTTCTCAGGAGGAGGATGAGGAGGAGGAGGAGGAGGAAGAGGAGGAGGAGGAGGAGGAAAAGGATGGGAAAGGGGATGGGGATGGGGAGGAGGAGGAGGAGGAGGAGGAGGAGGAGGAGGAGGAGAAGGAGCAGGATGATGATGATGATGCTGATGATGATGCTGATGATGATGATGCTGATGATGCTGCTGCTGATGATGCTGATGATGATGCTGCTGATGATGATGATGATGATGATGAGGAGGAGGAGGAGGAGGTAAAAAAAGGGACAGGCGCTCAGGGGATGTGTTGTCAGATCAGCAGGTGCAGCGGCGGCGGCAAACAACTCTACTGGATATCCCTGCGAGATATATAGATGCAGGGCCTATCGCCAAAGCCATGGGCCTGCCTGCGCCGCCCCCTCTGGACTGCGTCGGGAGGGGGGGGTGCGCGCAGGGAGCACAACGCTTCTTAAACACCAGGGGCAGCCGCGAGCGGGAGGCAGGGCCCTTTCCTTGGGCCGTGCCTCCGCTCAGAGGCAAGGGACAGAAAGCTCATTCGGGCGGGGAGGGGCCCACACACACTCACACACTACACGACACCGAGGCTGGAGGGGGGGGGGCGGTGGCGGCGGCGGCCGCCTCGTGGTACGTGCGGTCGACGGTGGCGCGCGCGGCGCGCGGAGCGGCCGCGCGCACCGCTCGCACCGCTCGCCGCTTGCTCTCTCTCTCCCCCAGCCCTCACTCCACTTCCCCCTCCCACGGAACACAGAAAAACATAGAATACTGAATCTGGGCAACTCTGGGGTCCTCGGGGGCTCACTCCGAGATGAGTTTAGCGGTGGGTGGGGGCCTCTTGTGCCATGTCGTTCCCAGCTAGTTTGTGTCACCTGGTCGGCGCAGCTACCATTAGTAGTGGTACCCTGCTGCTGAATATGGCACGGCCTGCTGAGAAGATAGGACACTGATCTCTGATTGGTGTCCCCTGCTGAGCCGCTGACGTGGCACGGCCTGTTGGGGAGACAACTGCCCACTGACCTCTGACCGCTGGGCGTGGCACGTCCTGCTGAGGAGAAGAAAAACGGAATGCCCTCTGACCGCTGAGCGTGGCACGGCCTGCAGAGGAGAAACCATGTCTACTAACCGCTGACTGCGATCATGTGTCTTGGATCTGCTCTAGTTTGTCCGCCGAGCTCTCCCCCCCCGGTCGTAGTCAATCCACTCGCCCTTGGTCTTCCAACCGTCGTAGGGCCACGTCGACGGGTCGTCTTTATCCCAAGCTGGGATGCCATCCTCAGGCGGCGTCCAACCGTAGAAGATCCAGGTGCTCGGGTCGGAGGCGCTCCATTCTTAGGATGATGCCACCGTTCTCCTGTTTCGCGAGCTCCTTCGCCCCGGCCGGTTCCTGCTGGCCCACGATGTCCCGCAGCCCGACCCTCTCGTCCACGAGCGCCTTGGTGTAATCCTTCTCCGTGGCCATCTGGACCGGCAGCTCCGTTTTAAACTTCAAACTGCCGCGTGCGTCTGTTACTTTCGGCAGCGCTTCGGTCACACCCTGGACGTGCTCCTCTAGCGTCTCCTGGTGTTCCCGGTTATCATGAATGTCTAGGGCGCTGCGTGTGAAGATCATCGTCAGCTTGGTCGTCATGGCCACTAAGTAGTCGGACTGAATGATCATCTTCTTCAGCATGTCCGTCGTCATCCTCTTGCTCGCCTTCAGGTTCTTCTCCTGCAGCGCTATGATGTCGCCTGCGTCCCCCACCTCCAGGTCATCAGTCTGTCCGCGGTACACGAGTGGCTCTGCTACTGAAGGGAGCTGCGTCGCCATTCAAGGTTTTCGCCGCACTTCTGAGGAGGAAGAGGAGGAGGAGGAGGAGGAGGAGGAGGAGGAGGAGGAGGAGGAGGGGGAGGGGGAGGAAGAGGAGGAGAAGGATGATTATTTTGTTGACATCCACAGCCACAGAGTCCGTCAAAGGGGGCTGACATATTCGAGATCCGCAGTGACCCCGACCCTCTTGTGATCAGGGTGGAGACCTTTGCCCAACCTCGTCCAAACTTCATTCCGAGCGGGCGGGCTGCCAAGGCATTGCTTAGCAAACCGCCTCAGCTGACCTCCAGTCGAGAACGCAGCACAGACCTGGCAGGCACACGCGAAGCTTCCGTCGCTGAAATCCACGACGAGGCAGCGATGCTCGAGCTCCCGCAACTTTGCGGGATCGACCTTTAAGTGACAAAATCCTGGAGCTGGCTTAGCCGAGGATCGGGGCGCGCGGGGGCAGTTGCAACGCTGCCACAAGCCCCCGACCCAACTCCAAACGCGCGGTGGCCTCGGATCTTTGACCTGCGGGGGCGGGGGCTCAGCGCGGGCAGCCCCGTCGAGATTCGCCCGAGGCCATCTCTCCATCAGGTGCGCCGCCAAACGTGTGACAGCACGCGAAACCATACACAACAAATCAATCCCAGCTGCTTCCGACTCTGACAGCCTGGGGTGCAATAAAGCGCCCTCTTTGGCGGCGCCAGCTGCTGCATTGTTCCCGATGATGTGGAGACGCTCGGCCCACGGAAAGGCCTCGTCGCCCTCCCTGTGGGCCCGAACCTTGGAAACACCGCGGAGAAAACCCTGACCGAAGGCGTCCGTCTGCATAACAAGTCCCGCGTAGGGCCTGCTGGGGTGCACACGGCCCTGGTGATTTTCCCCGTATTCGTTGGCCACCACCTGGCAACCATAATAAACGTCAGCAATGCCAGATAAAACAGAGGCAGCACTAGCAGGGGCAGCAACCTCAGCAGCAACACTGGTCTGAGGGTAAACACCTCCTAACGGCCCGAACAGCTTGGCCAAACATCTACCACTGTCGCAAAACCAAACAACTCCCCATCCAGCCCTAGAGAGGTCCTTGATCTTAGACCTGAAACAGGACCCGTCGCCGTGCAACCTCCCCGAGAGCCCCCGAACCCCTGGGTCAGGCGGAGGGAGCTGCTCCTCGGCGAAAGCCTCTGGGTAGAAACAGAACTGGACGGCTTCCATAGCTTGTGCCTGGGAGAGCGGCTGAGGAACGCCACTGCCAGGGTGCTGGAAGAGGCCCGTCTCGCAGAGGAATTCAAAACCAGGGGACGGGTCCAAAAGCTCCGACCGTATCTTGTCCAGGAATTGGCTACCAATGAGATCGGCTCGCTCGTCTTAGGTCTTCACAAGCGGGGCAGCGCCACAATATGTGGAGCATCGTGTCTCCATCCTGGCCGCACAAAGGGCAAAAGTCCGCCACCAAGTAGCCTTTGTCACGAGCGCGAGCCAAGGGCCAGATCGCCCTACAAACAACAGCACGAATACAACCTTCTTGATTGTCCCAAAGCTTTTTGGAAGCAAAGGCCCGAGAGATAATGTCGAAACAGAGCCGGCGACCGTCACAATACTTGGAGCCCACTTCGATCTCCAACCATTTCAACACCGATGCTTTTAGGAAGCGCTTCACTAAGGCAGGCGAAGTAAGCATACGGGGAATATGTTTACCATCTTCATCCACCATAGTGAAAGGGGTCTAGCATAGTCCAGTTAATCCGCTGCAGCGAGAAATCGATAGCTCCAAAAGGGTCTCGGACCGATCTCCAAGACTTCGGGGGCGAGCGCCACGTAGCACTCCATGCAAGTCTGATTTGCTCCCAAGATAAAGCCCACGGGGTAGCCCGAGTCTGGAGTAGCCAGAGTTCCTCGCAATATCGAACGATGGGGCCACGCTGCCAAACCAAGCAGGATCGTTTTCAATGCGGGCCAGAATGGACAAACTCCGATTTCCACTCGATGGCTTCATCGTCGAGGCGCACATGCGCCGAACTCTGGTCAACTCCGCATCCGACATCCCGTGGACTTCGGAGCCGTACTGCAGGCCCGGGAGAGGGCCTAGGATCAAAATCTTAGTTGCTCGGCGGCCTAGAACAGGCCTCTGCTTAGCGAGGCGACGTGTCCTGCGCGCCGCCGCTGAGATGCGAGCCTTCGCCTTAGCATTCCTACCACGCACCCTGCGAGGCAGGCCAGCGGTGACATCGATCCCCAGGTTGGCCGTGGTCTCGCGCCACGGCCCAACAAGGGCCCCAAACTCGCCCTGGAGACGGGAAGCGACCACCCTGGAGCTCGAAACAAGGGCAACCTTGTCCATGGACATCTGAGCCTGCATCATATCGGTGATGGCAACACGCAAGGCCTCCACCCTCGCAATTCAGACCCGAGTCACCGATGAAAATATCAAGCGTGGTGTTCGGTCCCAGGGGCACAGAGTCAAACGAATCGATCCCGAACATTTGGACCATCGAAGTCGCCATCGGGCATCCAGCCACAACTCCGAACTCAGCGTAAAGAGCGGGAGCGACCACACCGCACAGGGCCATAAACCTGGCCGAGCGGTAAGCGCAGAGACAGACCCCCGTCAACACAGGGTGGAAGTTAAGCCTGTGGCACCGCTGCTCAAGCAGCGTTAAGGTGATCTGCTCGTAGTATTTCAGCATGTCCCAGAATAAGCCTCCTGAGTGGAACTGCGAGCCCGTGCTGGTCTCCGACCTCACAGCCTGTCTCCACACAGTGTCCGTGGCGCTACGAAACATCCCAGTGGCCCAGTGAGGTCGATCGTGATCGAGCTCCCAGGCCTCGGCCCCAGGGTCTCCTGCGCCGCCCCTAGAGGCGGTAGGGGCTCGCAAAGACCCCGGTCGGGGAG